GAAAGAAAATGTGGTTCGAATATAATATAACTTAAGGCCTTGACATTAATATTGCAAAGAAAATTTGAAAATATATGTATCGGATATGGATCTTTTGTTTTTTTACCATTCGAATGACCTCTGTTTCCCTTCAATTTTCTTGCATCTTTTCTTTAACAAAGACGAGCATGATGATAAGAATACGTATTGCTTGTGGATCGATTATATTAATAATACACTGACGGACATAATTAGAAACCTACTCGATTCTTTTATATTTCTGTAATTTGTATTTGAAATCCGTTATTCCTGTATGGTAGAGGTATAAAGTATTTACACTGAATTATTTGACAAATAATTCCTTGAAATTATTTATTTTCATTATTTGCTACTTTGTAGTATTAAAAAACGAATTTTTCAAGTATTAAATCACAATGGCACAGCAACGGATTATTAAACATTTTTATTGTCGCAATTAAACTTTAAATAAACGATTTTTTATAACTGAATTTATAGTTTTGTCCGATCGTGATACAGCATTTTTCAAATAATTTTACTAATTCATTCTTTACATACGCAATGCAAAAGATAATGTCGGGTCATCAGGTTTGTCATGTATTTCAGTATATATAATAGCCACACCCTCTTACGCAATGTTATTCAAAACAGTGCAAGAATTATGCGCACTAAAAATGATATAGTAATAATAATTATTATTAACCTCAATTAACCAAGAGGCACCACAATTAACAAATTGAAAATTTCATGCTTTTAGTATAATCTTTAATAATATTCAGTGCAGTAAAATTCTTGGCAGAAGAAATAAATTGCTGTATGTGAATCACAGTCTAAAAATGTACATTTGCAGGAATAAACGCATTTTCATAATCAGCCCCTCTGTATCAATAGATAAATGGCAACAGTAAAAATTACTGTATACCACTATCACGAATACTAAATTGAACACGAACAAATTTTTAGAGACTTACTAGTACCTTTAGAAATTTTTATGTAGAACGTTTTAGATTATATAAAATTTATGTAAAACTATTTAATCTCTTCATCTACTTATATACATATCCATAGTGTTACAATATCACTATTTTTACTATAAAATTCTAACATAACATGTCAGTTATTGTATCTTTTCTTCTTCTGTAAACCTGACACACAAGAAATAAGAAATCTATTAAGAATTTTCTCTGTAAAAATTTAAAAAAAATTTCTAGCAAATCTTTATGTACTTGAAAAGAAGTCTTACTCCTGGTTATACATATATTTTCGCAAAAAACTACAAGTTTAAACAATACATGCTCAAAAGTTATTGTTAATGTTTGTTACAATGTAAGAAAATTAAATGATTTATCTGTATACATATTCTACCGCCTATACCACATGTTACAAAATGATCTAAATTATAATAAACCAACGTACATATAAGAAAGTAATGAAATATTGTCATTGGTAATAAGTTTTGTTCCACGAACCAAAGAGATAGTGACGGTACTAAAGTTACTTTATAGTCGTTTATTTTCTGTATAGTAGGTACACATTCGTTACGTGCAATTTGGATATTTACGATTTTGTTACGGGTAAAACGACAAGACGGATCGGGGGCAACGTCTGATACCGGTATGGTGGCAGCGTATGAACAGGCAATGTTACTTTATCTTACAGTAACATCGTCGAATCACCTGCAGTGGTCATTTGCAATTGTCACGTGGGTATAGTTATCAGGAACTCATCAGCTCTTCCTGGATATTAACCCATTTACCGGCGTCGCCGGTGTTATGCCAATAAAATTTGCGATTAATACAATTGAAATATTCGTTGAAACCATGGAATGTAACGGGTCACATATTTTCTTCTATTTCAGATGCATACACTTGCACTTATTTTACAAACAGCGCCACCTCATTTTCAATTTTAGAAATGATATGTAATTTAACTTGTATTTACTAAAATTGTATTATAAATATAATGATAATACATAATTTATAAAAAAAATATATCATAATTTTATAATTCAAGGAAATAATAAAAAGTACTTGCACTTTTCTCCAATACGGCCTTTTTAAATGTTTATAATATATGGAAACATTATATATAAATAATTACACAAAGAAGATAACGAAAGTTATAGAATCGAATGGAAAAAATATATTTTAATAAATTTTGATCAAATGAGATGAAACCCATTTTCAAGGTTCCTTCAGAATATAAGAAAACTTTTTGGCCAATCTTATATTCTCTGTGTAATATAAGTTAATATTATATTATTTTTAAGAATTTAAACATCAATAAACAGATCTTATTTTGTATGTTGAAAATTCATCTTTTGAATTACAATTAGTTTCGAAGAAAATGTTTTCTAATTAGGTATTTCGTATCAAGTGGAACAGTTTTCGTTAAAATCGTTCTGTTTGAACAAATTTAATGCTTTAAAACATTGAATGTTTTGAAATTATTCATAAAATGATAGACATTAAAATACTAAATAAATATAAACTAATATCTAATGCAATAAAATTTAAGTAATAAGAATTAAAATCTATTGCTGTACACTTCAAACTATTAATGTACAGTTTACGAAGGAGTGATATTTACTATAAATTTATTTTCGTCACTTTTTTATCATTCTCTTGTATTCATAAAAAACTATATACATAATTTAAATCTATCTAAAAAGTAAACAATTCTATACTGTATCTGTTCTTTCCAATTTATGTTCAAATACCCACAGGAATGTCACATGAATTAATGAAGATCGGTCCTTTTCAGATCAATAATTTTTACATGTCCATAACAACAGCAATTATAAGTGACAGCATCTGGAAGCCTTTAATATTTTAATAAATCAATAGAAGCACCCGGTCTATGATTGCTTCCAAATATTAGTGGACTTCTAATGTAATGTATAAAGCTCAGTTTGTATTTTTAACTCATTACGTCTTGAAAGATGTCATTCTTAATTTGTATAGTTTTTCTTAATTTACATACTTCATTCTATTTAAATAATCCATGTAGTGGCTGTGAAGACGTGAATATTAGAACTTAAATACCTATAGGAATATGAATCGAAAACCCAAGCAGTTTTGGTTTATTTTAGTGTTTGAGTAAAAGTATTAAGTATAAAATTATAAAAGTTCAACGTACTGTTCCTTTGCGACATGAACTGTTACGCTTGTCTCGCGTACTCGTTTACTGAGAAAATGGAGGCACTCGTATTTAAAAGATTCCCCGATTAACAATTTAAGACGTTTATTCGCGGCGCCAATAAAAATATGTACGAATTTTCAATGTCACGTAGGGTCGATGATAATAATAGTGATTTAAGTGCCAACAAAATGGATGGTACAGCCGATAATCAATGACACTCGACGTTTTGAATACTATAGTTACTCAGAATCATTTCTCTTACGAGCATGAAGAATAGAACATTTTTTACAACCTCGATCGATGTAAATGTAGCTGTGTGTAATGTCATTTAGCGTGTACGCTGTTGGATAACCAATATTATAGCAACTTAAAGGAAACTTATCAATCTGTCGCAACGTTTGTACTACGCCCTGCGAATGATTCATCCTTATGCAATGACAACATTGATTTACATGGAGGTAATTGTTCTACATCTCTACATATTTTCGGGGGGATTTCAGCGTTTGAAGACACTATATAGTTGAAGGTGTCGAACGGAAATTGTGCGTCATTAGAAAAAAGGAAGACGATCGCAATAATAGTGTAACGGTAAAAGAAAGTAGAAAAATGATGTTTTAAAACAATAGTTTAACAATCGTGAAACATTGCCCGCAAAATTATATTTTTTAATTACTTTAAAAAATGATTTTGAAATATTCAAGATATTTTAATCGACAGACAATTTAAATTTGAAATATTTAAGACACTTAAAATAATGTGTCTAGAATATTGTTTCTTGCGTTTTAAATATTTTAAATATATTTTATATATATTTCATTTATAGTTTTAATATAATAGGAAACATTGTCCTAAAAAGAAATAACACGAGTTACACTTTAAAACCGTAACAGCGATAACTGCACTTGTTTCGTATTAACAATATACTGAGCAAATTTCAATATTACAGTAGTGTGGTTAGTAAGCTGGGTGGAGAGTGCACTTATAAAAATTCTATTACGTCTAGACGATTGTTTCTACGATAATTTCTGTCGCGGAAGGGTGTAACAGCGATTCGAATCTACATATTGAAACCATTTAACAATTAATTACGAGATTACTGTTCCTTATTATTGCAGATGCAGTGCTGTTTGGTGGTGCAATAGCTAGGCATCCTACAAAATTCCGCATGACAGACTTCCCATTTCACAGAAACCGATAAATAATAATTGGAAACATTACATTCACCACTTTTCGTAAGCTTGGGAACCGTGAAAAACGATGTTACGCGGATAACATCCCTTATTGCGTAAAAGAGTCTCGAGACACGAGAAATAACAGAAACGTAAGACTTTTAACAATCACACATTGCATTTAAATGAAAAATTCAATGAAAACTACGTATTCACGGAATTTCCAGTGTTCACATACAAATCGAAACCAGTCGACGTTCAATAAGAATTTACACTTCCGACGAAGAATTCCAATGAATTTCGAATAACATGAATTTCCTGTGAAATTTTAACATTTCTTTCATTGTATTTCACATGGAACAATATCCGTAGTCCAATTGAGGTTGACAGCTGACAGAAAAGAAAATCGAACGTTCCTGTCATCGTCTGATGCAAATACAGGTCAAAGAATCCAGGATCTTCCGCGAGGCGAAGGATAACGGTATTGCCACCGCTCAATACAGAACCGATGACAGCAAAATCTACCCTTGTCTATTCAAAGATTGTGAGAAAATCGATTGTGAAAAATCTACAATTTTCCGAACACCTTCGATTTTCCGGTGGTATTGACGTCATGGGAACGGGGTCTCGATTTGCTGGGAATCGGGACTCCTCCTGAATCGAGCGAGGATGCTGGACGAAAGATTCTCTTACCTGGAGTAAAAATTCGGTTTGTAGTCCTCGTCGACGATAAACTTTTTAAACACAATCCCAACTCGTTGTCCGTCAAACAGTGTCTCGCGAGGAACTGGCTTTTACAAAGACCAGGGGAGTCCTTTCTCAGTAAGGTACGTTCGTCCGTCGGGCCACGTCCGTCCGTTTGTCCTGGCATGCTCTGCTCCGGCGCCTCGACGCCCAACCACCCGTCGAGCCAACCTAACCCGGCTCACTCGATAACCCACCCATACACGTACAGCTTTGTCGAGCTTTTACGAAACAATCTATCGATAAATTATGTAGGAACAGTGCTCTTTTTGTCCACACGCAATGCCGACCGAAGCTCCCTTCTTGTGCAAACTGAATTATAATAATGTTAATAACAAACATGATGGTAAATCGTCTTCGTTCAACCACGCTGACGTTGATATTGTCACAGAGAATCGGAGGAGAGAGTTTATAAACTATTGTATTGTCGTTCGATTGATGCTCTTGCGATCAGTTTGTTGTACATGCGAATAGAGAGATTTGGAAGATTGTAAACGACTGGATGTTCTGTTAATGACAACGGGGAGGTATATAGTTTATAATATGATATAGCTTGAGAAGTGATACACTTTACGTGTGCTATTTATGCAAATGAATGAATAAACAGTGAATATTTATGTAGATGTAGATTTGTAAAAATTGAAGGACACAAACTGGAATTAAATGAAAATTTGATTTCATTAGTAAGGATTAGATAAAATAAAAACTTTATTGTATTGTATTCAATTTTGTATTACACTGAATTTAAGAAAATTGTGCTTTCTACGGGGTACTCTATTTATTAATTAATAGAGCAAACTACGCTGCCAAGTGAGAATATACTGTTAGAGATGAACCGTAAAAACAATCTTGCATAAATATGAAGAATAATAGTCTTGTTTTAGATGATTTTAATTTGATGTGGAGATATTTAGCAAATAAATATTCTATTTTGAATGATTGTTATTGCGTAGTATTAAATATTTAGTCTAATTAAATTCTTAAATAATTTACAGTAAATATACTCAGCTTATTTGTTGTGTATTTTCTCAATAAAATTTTCTCATTGCGTATTCTATCAACTATAAGTAATTTACGAAAGTGTTCTATTTTAACAATTGAAAAAAAATCGATTTTTTACTGCGTTGTTTTCAATTTTGCTACAAATATAATATAGAATTTGAAAAATTGCAAATGTTATAGAACCATTTTAAAGTTTGTTAATATTTAAATTTTCCTCGTCTCTATTTTAAACTTCATGGTTGGATATTTTAAATTCTCCACGTAAGCAGTTTAATTTTATTTGTCAAAAGTCTATATGAAATCAGCTTTCTCTCGTCTCTTATACAAAATAGTTGAATACTTGTCGAAACTTATCAACTAGATTTTGAAAATTGAAAAAGAAACGTAGATCGGAAAGACTGCAAAGCAGAGCAAACCCATACAATGAAATCTATGAAACTAACGTTCAAGGATAATCGGTATGCAGTGGAAACTGATAGTACATAGTTTTAGTAGCACGTAACCAAAGAAACTGAGAATAACGGCTAATGAAATTCTTATAACGAAACAGCACAGTTATAGTATTCTCAGGGTTTTTATTCTTTTCATGAAATGGTAATCTACTGAAATAGCAGATTATGATAAATCCTTTAAATACAAAATTGTTTGTCTTCTAACCTTTTGCAAAGTTTCAATCGCGATTTCTAAAAATTCAAGTTTCCATTTTAAACCTATACATTTTTCAGACACGGTTGCCATTAAATGTTTATCTTTTAAACGCATACTGCAATATTTGTAACTATGGCTGAAATTAGGATTATCTAGGAATGTAACAAAAGTTTCTATTCTTTCGAGTGGTTAAAGCAAAAAGGGGTAGTCAAAATTGCACCAATAGTCTTTTAATACTTATAATTCCAATGAATTCTCTTTTTTAATAGATAGTTCTACTTTCAATAATGGTCATTCTTCTAACGAATAAAATGAATATCGATTCATTGATTTCTGAAGAACAGATGAGTCGCAAAATGTAGGACAACTTTCCAATACATTTCTGATGCTGAAAGACTCTGTGGCTATCACAATAAGCAACGATGAAAAATATTAGCATTTTAAGGATATGTAATATTAAAGATTTATAAAATCAGAACATTCAATTCCTTAAGAAAAATATCAACACTTTAGAAAGATCCAAAAAGTCTCTTTTTAAAACGTAAACCATTTTTTATTTTAATGGCGTAATCATTTTAAGATGTATATACATATATCTTCTACACTTTTTTATCTATTAAATTTGGTAGATGAACGAAAGGTCGTATTTGAAGGTTTTCGATTTTTTACATAAGAATATATGTTCTTACGAAAACTTTTTTTTTATCGAAAATTTTGATAATTATTTTTATTCAGTATTGGCACGCTTTCTTATTGGAAGAGGCGAACAATACTCTGTTACTAATTTTATAGTAAAGTAGTATTGTATAAAGATAAATAATAGATATATAAATAAAATATATTAGTAACCTTATTATTAAAGTGGCAAACTTCCACATGATTTACTTTTATACATTGTTTTCTAAAAACATAAGTTTGGATATTATTACTGAAATTGTATTTATAATTCTTTAAGTTGAAAATTACATTTTGAAGGTATTTTTATTGTCTACATCTCCATTGAAAGACGTATTGTTAAATACTTGTTTTTTGCAAAAAGTTATATAGATTTTTATAAAAGTCAGTTTTTTACTTAGTATTTCGCAAATTCTGTAGCGTAACAACATTTTAGACACATAAATATTTAGTTTACTTTTTGCTTTAATGCATACCCAGATTCCCAATCTTTGCATATTTTTCAGTCGTTTTACGTTTCTAAAATTAAAATTCCTGTGAAATCCGTAAATGTCAATGCTTCATTCTCCACGCAAGAAATTAATTCACCTTAAAAATATACTACACCGTTTTGGTTTCAGAGAAGTAAAGGTTATAAATAATAATATAAATATTGTGCTATAATACTCAATTATCAGTCTTTATTAATAATTTGTAATAATAAAAATGTAGTTATGTACCTATATCAATTAGTAAGTTCAAATATTCGACGAGCAATGACTTCAAAGTATGTAATATATTTATATACAATACTGGCAAATAAAGTTGCATCATTACGTGTAAATACTTATAATTTGTATCTATCAGAATTGTACATGATTTGCATATTTAGAAACGGTACATTTACCTTACATTATGTAGTAATTCATTGTAATAATCAGTTCTTCTCTAATAAAAATCAATTACTGTTTACTAGATTACTGTTTATATGTTATATAAGCAGTTTGTTTATATTAATTTCTACCCTTAATGTTTTAACAACAATTCGGGAATACAATATTTTAATTTTCTATTTAAAAACATTTAACAACATAATATTATATTTTCATTCTCCGGGATGTACAGTGTTATTCATTTCGCGAAAATGCTTTCACGTGAATAAACTATTTCCTCGGTCTGTTAATAGTCGCAAGCCACGAATAATTGATAAAACCACAGAGCAGAAAAAAGAGGTATTCCTGATAACGCCAAGTAATAAATAAATATGTCAGGTAATAAAATTTTATCCTCACATTTATAATGCAAGAGTAGTCTCTAAATATTGCATTAACTCGATGGAAAGATATTTGCTTCTTGATAAGGATTATACGTACGATGAAACTTGACTACTGACATTTCTGAATTTGTCATTGATACTTCCAAGCTGTTTCGCGTATCATTCGCCTGCCATTAACTGCATAAAGATGGTACCACATTTCTTGTTCACCGAAACAGTCGTTTCATTCAATACTGTTTGCAGCCTCGCGTGTCATCTTCTTCGCGGCGATTTTATCGACAGAGAAATTAATGCGTGTATGTAGTCACGTCTCGCTCTCGTCATATCTTCCCACAGGGAACACAGAAAAAACGGAATCAATGAATGGAATTTTAACACTTCCTTTCTCTCGCGGAAACTTCATAAGAGAAATTCTTTACCAGATTCCACTCGGCGAAGATTTTGCTTCAAGTTAGCAGGATATCTTACAGCCTAGCTTGGATTACCTGAAATCATAGAAAGTTTGCCAAACATTAATCATGCGTTCGAATGTTTCCGAATTAAAAATATTTTCTTGTTTTAATGAAAATTTCTGTGTTCAAGAGAGTATTCTTCTTTGTTGGTTTAAAAGGAAATCTTATTATTGTACGTTTCAGATCGATTTCCCTAATTGTTTTGAAGGAATCATGTTCTCCATTTTAAAATTCAGTTTCAGAACAAGCGGTTATACAGTTTTTAATAAATCTTCAGATTTCAGAATTATTTCATTCGTTAAGCATGCATATTTAAAAATTTCATACTTAACTATGTATATTAAAATTAGTATTCAAGTTTTATTCGTGTTAAATGTAACCATATTTAAAAGGTTCATTCTGTTCTTAGATTCAATTTTAGCAATTGAAGCATACAATTTTAAAGTGTTTAAGGAGGTGACCTTCCAGGAAGGATTTCAAATATAATATTAATAAAAAGTGGAAGATTCAGCACTTACGGTAATGGGACTCATTTGAAAAAGGAAGTATCATATGAAAAAGGAAGGCTTCTATAAATGTGATGCTGAAAATCAATAATCCACATGGGAAAGGGTTGCAAGAATTGTGTAACATTTCTCGCAACCTCATAAATACTAAGAAAAAGCTTACTCATTGTGTTAGAACGTGTCGACATAGTGACACATTAGAGTTCCCCTGAACATCATTTTTGTCGAACACTTAAATTCAGCCGTAAAAAACTTTAGTGTCCTGAAATCGTTTCAGACGTACTCTACTTTCACGGTTCATAACATTCATATTTCGCTTTCCATTGTGTGTTTTGTATTTAGAATTTTAGTGACTATAAAAATATAACTATACCATATACATCTGTGAACTATATATCATAGATCTCCTTTCAGACAAAAATTATATGTTATATAATAGATGACAACCAGACAAAAGCGCACACGAAGAATACGTACAGAAGAATGCGCACATGTGCGAACACGCACAGGAAAAAAGTTCACATAGAAAAACATAGAGTTCACGTATAAGACATAGAAAATATTTATTGAATTATTCCAAAAAAGTATCTACTTATCGTTAAACGAATTATTTATTGTTTTCCAATTCTTTTTAAGTACAACAGTTCTCTGGTGATTTATTGTAAGTATTAACAGCTGCTGCTACTTTGCATCTAGGAGAGATTTATTTATACAATATAATACTTTACAATCGTACAATTTATATATATACGGATCATAAACTGTGCGTATTTTACATTGTGCGTTTTCGTGCATGTACGCATTTTTCTGTCCGTATTTTTCGTGTGCGTTTTTTCCTGTCCGCTCTTTTTCAATTACTTTTAGCATATGAGAAGAACTGCATACATTTATGTAATTGCAGTATCTTTTCATGGACCTGATATAAAATAATATCTCCAGCAACGGTTACCAACATTTTTAATTTCCTGCATTTTGTACCTTTAAATGTCTTATAAACAGACAAGGACAATAATTTATTTATAACAAATACGAAGACAGTGTAAAATTTACTGAAGATATATTACTTAAAAATGATTTAAAAACCTAATATTTTAGAACGGTGTGTATTATTGTATTAATGCATTTTTTTAAGTTAATTTTAGGTAGTAAGAATTACAAGAGACACTGCAAACATTTAATGTTGTTTTGCTTTTGCTTATTTATTATCAATAATGTTGTAATTTTATGCTTTTTATAAGTGAATGATGATAATACTTATCGCAACGTATAACTTTTATGACAAAATATGTATCACATACGAATTATTTATAATAGTGCATAAAAATATTGATATACCATCGGTTGATTTCGATAGAAGTCACTTATCGATTGTTACGCAGGCGCTGAGTGACTGTAACCGTCTTCTGATAAGAAATGTTTATTAACGGAAGTGACTTGTATGGTAACTTCTTTGGTTATTTAAATACCTCGTATACCGACGGAGGTAAACCATCAACGAAATACCGATTGCCGGTTAACGTTTTTCCAAATTACTTTCTCATTATTCATTCCAGAAATCTTCTTTATATCAATTTATAATTTTGAAAGTATTACTTTCACTTCAAGTATCGGTCATTTATTTTCGCGTAATATATATTAAAAAAAATATTAACTATTTATGGCAGAATATCTATTATAAAATATGTTTGTCGGAATTAATATTCCGCAAATATGTTACATAACACTGTCAAAAACCTATTAATAAGCTTCTCAATTACTGCGTTACATTTAAAAGAAACCTCACAAAAGTTACAATTAATTTACAATTAGAATTTAAATATTATTGCTATTGAAACATTGATTAAAGAATTCACATTTAACTGTTAATCCATTGATTCTTAAGATACTATTAATTCGCCGGTTGATAAAGTGATAAGATATGAATAAATCTGTTGATAATATTTATTTTCTTCCTCTAATTTTTGTATTTCGTTGAAAGGCAATTTGTAATTAATACAATCTACTACGAATTTCAAAGCAATTAATCTTTGCAATAGTCACGTAATAACAAGCAGTAACTAACAAAGGATTATTAATACATCTTATGTAAACGTAGATTTTACAAATCAATTTCTAAAAGCTAGAAGTAAATAAATGTTTTGTTTCTGTATTGAAATCACAGTTTAAGTAAAATAAAAGATTCATGTTATATTAAACTTTTGCGGTGAGAAAATTTAAATTATCATATTTACGACGAATCCGTGGAATTCGAAATTTAATTATTATTAAATTCGACTATGTGAACAGGAATTGAAAAGTGGCTTTTGCATTGTAGAAAAGTGTACTGCCCCTGGCAGTTGTGTCTAGTCGAAGATTACTAATCCACAACGATGGAAACCTTGCAAGGTCCCCTTGGAATCAAGCCATAAAGCGAAGTTTCAAGAATCGATAGACGCTAAAAATTGATACTGTAGTTTATCCTCTTCCCCTTGTATGGCTCGTTGATATTCATTATTTACGATGAATAATCCATGAAAGAAACATTATAAAATTCCTGTTCGAACTGTGTATTTGTGCAGATATAAGATTCTTTGCCAACCGAAGCTCGGTATAGTAAAATATTAAAATAGTTCAACAAGAGCTGTATCTATTTTAGAGTATAGCTTTATTTATTTCAATCTGTGAAAACCAATCCGTAACAATTTATTAATATCTAATCACTTCAATTTCTTTTTACGAAACGTACAAATAAAATTTTATCTGCTTAGATTAAGTCATCGCAATATAAAGCTAACATATCTGATTATATCAGATTAATAGAAGTCAGTAGATCGTACGATTACAACCCTGCAAAACTGAAATAAAGTTCAATTCTTCTTTATTCCAAAATGATGTTCCGAGTATCTATAAATTGTATCTACCATCAAAGTGTAATGAAATATGTTATATACATTATGTTTTAATGGCAGTTATGGCTAATTTGAATGTAACATTGCGGGAATGATATACACATATCATTTACAGATATTCTTAAAAATCTTAGACATAAGAATCTAAATATCAAATTGTTATTATGCATATGTCTGTGTTAAATTAATATTTACATAACAAAACATCTATTGTAATTTGCCAATAATTAAAATGAATGTCTTCATGTGCAAATATTATGTATATACGCATAATATAATAAGAATATGGAATATAATAGAAAATGATTGTTACTTGTCTGTTATTACATCTACAAATAAAAGAAACTTTGTACTGGATGTAAAAACTATCGCATAGGAAATAATGAAATCCAAGGAGTAAATTTGTTTCTACACGTGCACTTAAACACTATTTATTTTGCTCGTGTGTTTGAGTGATACTATTTATTTTTCTTTGCAATAATATGATATTATTTACCACCAATGATACTTTCATATAAATATTTAGTCACGAAATGGAATACCAGTTAGATTAAAGTGATGAACAATAGACACACTGTATTCAAAAGTAAACATATATAGGGTGCTTCATTTTGTGACTTCGTCTTTGAGATAATCGATTTCGAAAGTTTGCTGACACGCACGGAGTGCATAGGATCCACAAGGAGTAGAATGGATGAGTCACGAACAGACATGTTAGCAGACTCTTATTAATAAAGTGTGTACTCAACGTGATTATCTCTCAAATAAAATATCGCGCGAAAAGAATTTTTTTTGTCATTTTAACTTATTTTTACATTCACACGAATGTTCTATAGTGTCACCAAAAATCTGTTTCTCCGAGTTACGTTTGAAGATGTTAAAGACACTCATCGTATTTTACATAATCTTCTCAAGGATGATGATGTTAACGACAGAGATTCCACGTTACCTGATGCGCTCATCAGTAGGTTATGAATTTCCATGTAACTTAAAATTGTAAAAATTCATTTCGTAAGTAATTAGAAATAATTAATAATTTGTGCTGTTGATTAAGAATTTCATATGTTCACAGGTAACATGGAAAACTTGATGAACCTCCGTAAAAGTTGAAGTTTCATAAATTACATTTATATTTATGTGAATGTAGATTTCTCCGGGCTGAATTATAGAAATTGAAAGACAATAAAAACTTGCTAATTCTGTCAAAAGTTCTGTCATATTTCAAATGAAATAAAAGTCTGAGTGCACTACGATATTCCTGTATATCTTGAAGGCACTCTAAAGTAGCATTTTAATTAGAATGATGTTACGAATCAAATACGTTCAAAGTTAGTTTTTGTAATTTCATTTAAAGTATCACAATAAACATTTAGATTGTAATAACTACAAAACGATTTATAACGAAAACAGTTGCACAATTTATTTCAAAATTTTATTACATTCTTAATGATTCAGTAATTTATAATTGATACAAGAAAACTTTAAAACTTTATTTAAGGGGTTTATTTTAAACCTTTACGAAAAACCGATTAACCATTTGTCTTATAATTTTCTTCGCAACTCTGTTTGATATAACTGTTATCGTTAATAATTTATTAGAAAAAGAAAGGAACCCGATACTCATTCTACATCTACATTT